TGTTGATGATGAAGATGATGGTGATGATGTGGATGCAGCTCATCGTTATGACGACGATGATAGAGATGATAATGATGATGATGATGATTATGATGATGCTGATGATGATGATGATTACAATGATGATGATGACGATGATGATGTTGTTGATGTTGATGATGATGATGATGATGGCTATCATGATGATAATGTTGATAATGATTATGATGTTGATGCTGATGATGAAGATGATGATGATGATGATGTTGAGGATTGGAATGATGCTTATCGGGATGACGATGTCATGTACATGATGATGAAGATGATTAAGTTCCTGGTGATGATGATGATGACTATCGAGATGAATCTGACAATGATGATGAAAATGATGATGATGATTCGGACGATGCTTATGGTGTTGACGATGATGACGTAGAATTTGATGATGACGACGATCATGACGATGATCCTGATGAAGACGATGAGGATGGTGAAGATGATGATGATGTAGATGATGATGATGATGATGATCATTATGATTATGCTCATGAAGATGTTGTTTATCATGAAGATGTAGACGATGATGATGCTGTTGATGGTGATGAGGGAGATGCGTATAATGTTGGCGATGATGACGTCGATGTTGATGATGGTGACGATCATAATGATGATGCTGATGAGAATGATGACTATCATGATGATGATGATCATGATGATGATGATGATGATGACGATGATGATGATAATGTTGATGATGATTCGGACGATGCTTATGGTGTTGACGATGATGACCTAAATGATGATGATGAAGACGATCATGATGATGATGCTGATAAAGACGATGACGATGATGGAGATGATGATGATGTTGATGATGTTTCGGATGATGATGATGGCAAGGTTTATCATAATGATGACGATGATCAAGATGATATCGATGATGATGATGATAATGTTGATGATGATGATGGTGATGACGATGATGATTCGGATGATGCTCACCGTGAGGACGATGATGATGATGCTGATCATTATGATGATGCTGAAGATGATGATGACTATCATGATAATGATGATGATGATGATGATGATGTTGATGATGATGAAGATGATGATAATGTTGAAGATTATTCGGAGGATGATGATGTTGACGACGATGATGATGACAATGAGAATGATGGCGAGCATGATGCCAATCGTGATGAACATGAGGATGTAAATGATAATTATGATAATGTTCATCGCGATGATGCTGATGATGATGATGGCTATCATGGTGATAATGATGATGATGATGATGATGATGATTCGGAAAATGATGATGATTTTGAACAAGATGTAGATGAACATGATGATGATGACGATGATTCGGATGGTGATGATGATGATGATGATGATGACGATGATGATGATGATCATTATGATGACGGTGATGATGATGATGAATATGAACAAGATGACGATGATTATGATCATGATGACGATGATTCGGATGATGAAGTGAATGATGATGACGATGACGACGATGGTGTTAGTGATGACGACGATGATGATGATGATGATGATCAAGATCATATTGATTATGACTCGGATGATGAGGTTTATGCTGATGATGATGATTCGGATGATGATGATGATGAAAATGTTGATGATGATGATGAAGTTGATGATCAGGAACATGATAATATTGATCATGATGAGGAAGATGATGATTTTGATGATTATGAACATGATGATTATGATGATGATGCTGATGATGGTGACGAGTATCATGATGATGTTGATGATGATGATTATAATGATGATGAAAATGATGAAGATGAAGATGATGATGATGATGATGATGATGATGATAATGATGAGGATGTTGATGATGATGATTATGACGGTGATGATGATCACGATGTTCAAGAAGATCATGATGAAGATGATGACGAGCTTGATGCCAATCGTGAAGAAGATGATGGTGTAAGTGATTATTATGATGAATCTCATCATGATGATGCTGATGCTGATGATGGCTATCATGATGATAATAATGATGATGAACATGATGATGATGATGATGATGATGATGATGATGATGATGATGATGATGATGATGATGATGATCGTGATGATGATGAAGATGATGATGATGATGATGTTGATGATGATGATGATTATGATGATGATGATGATGATGATGATGATGATGATGATGATGATGATGATGTTGATGATGATGATGATGATGATGATGATGATGATGATGATGATGATGATGATGATGTTGATGATGATGATGATTCGGTAAATGACGTTGGATATGAACAACGTGATGATGATTTTGAAAAAGATGACGATGATTCGGATGATGATGATGATTTGGATGAAGCTCATCGTGATGACGATGATGATACAGATGATAATGATGTTGATGATGATCATGATGATGCAGATGATGATGATGATGATGATGATGATGATGATGATGATGATGATGATCCGGAAGATGCTTATGGTGTTGACGTTGATAGCGTAGATGATGATGATGACGACGATCATGATGATGATGCTGATGAAGACGATGACGATGAGGAAGATGTTGATGATGTTGATGATGATTCGGATGATGATGATGGCAAGGATCATGATAATGATGACGATGATCAAGATGATCTCGATGATGAAGATGATGATGTTGATGATGATGATGGTGATGACGATGATGATTCGGATGATGCTCATCGTGAGGACGATGATGATGTAGATGATGATGATGATGATGATCATTAGGATGATGCTGATGATGATGTTGTTTATCATGATGATGAAACGATGATGATGATGTTGATCATGAAGATGATGTTGATGATGATGTTAATGGAGATTATGACGAGGATGATGCTCATCGTGTTCACCATGACGACGTAGATGATGATGATGACGATGATCATTATGATGATGCCGAAGAGAATGATGACTATAATGATGATGATGATGATGATGATGATGATGATGATGATGATGATGATGATGATGAT